CCTCTTATTATGAGATAACTATGAGATAAACTGTAATCTATTTCTGATTACCTATAGTAATATATGGCATATAGTTTGGAAAATAATTGATAATGTTGGATTTATCAACAATGTAGTAATTTCATGTTAAAATACTACTAACATAATATAATGATATTATAATAACAGTCTACATAACTCTCATGTGTAGCAGTATTTTTATTTATTACATTATAACCTATTGTGTATCATTACTATTAAAAGATTATATATAGTTTTCTTTTCTTAGATATGCTTGTTGATACACAAATAAGTATTGTGTTCATATACTTGAATATTGTATTAAAATTGTAATCTTTCCGAGCCTTATAGCTCACTAGATTTTTATTCTATCTGTTGTTAGAGGAAAAGATAAGGATAAGGTGGAAGCTGACTTGTCTCAGATTAATCTAAAACTATATTTTGTTTTATAGTGGTATGAGATGAGTCCTCAACAGAGGTATATGAACTATTATAATGAAAAGGATTTTTGATGGTTAGTTACTTTATAATTATATATATATATTTATACACCTTTTTTTTTTTAACATTTATACGCTACATATGAAGCTCCATTATCAATTATTAGGGTTTCCCATAATTCTCATGGATTCTTTATATGTATGGGTGGCCATGCTCATATAAAGAATTACAAACTTTAGAAGGCCTTATCCAAGTTTTGTAATAGCTTTGTAGAAGGCTTGAGGTTGGTTGCACTTGTAGATTTCATACATATGGAGTAGATTAGAAGCAATGTACTCATTAATATTTTGAGAAATGAAACTATGTAGATCATCATTTTGATTTTTCTGATGTTGATTTTGCACTTTACTATACAATTTTGCACCTTTGATTATTTGCAATAGTCATCAAATTCAAAATTTCTGATGTTGCTCATTTTGCACTTTACTATACAATTTTGCACCTTTGATTATTTGCAATAGTCATCAAATACTTATATATTTGTTTTTTTAAATTATTATTATATTCCCTGTAATGTTACAAATGTCATCGGAGAGGCTCTTCCCTACATGCCCGAAAGGGCATGCGTGGGACTCCTCTCGATAGGTCGATTGTATCATTACAGGTTTTGGAGTTTTAGGGCTCAACTTTGTTATACCTAGGCACGTAACAAGGCTAGTTGATGATGAGGCGATGATATATCTTGAACTTTGTCTCGTTTTACATGTGCAAGAGTGGAAATTTTGTCAATTTCTCGTGTCGGTTCCCATGCAATACGGGTCTTATTTTCTAGTATTTCGGACATTCCGAACGCACTCAAGCAGTCCGATTTGTGTTTAGAGGTCGTTTGGGCAACCTCGTGTATTGTCGCGCATGCGATTTGACGTTTTCAACCACTTTCACTCGATCTGTTTGCGAGAGGTCTCATTTGACTAATTTTGGCATTTTGATCGTGAAAACATGACCGGTTTTGCTATCGGAGGTCTTTTTGAGTGATTTCGTGTTCCTTTGGTATATGTCGCATTAATTATGCGATCGATTGTTGATCGCTCATCGATCTTGTCGTATGTGCTTGCTTCGATCATTAGATGTATTTTAGGGGTCAACAATAACTATTCAATTTTTGTTTGTAAAATCAAAATATTAGTGAGCTAATATGCTTACCATGATGGTTTGAAGCAAAAAATTTTATACGTGACTAGAAAAATAGGAAATGCAAGATATTTATGCAACAACTTAAGGAGAGGTGTTAACATGAGCTATAGATGGAAGAATGTCACATAAATATAGAATTATGTATCCCTCTAAAAGTCTAAATTAACCACCAATTTAGGAATTAGAATCCTCTCAATCATCCATTGATCTAATCATAATTTTATATTCTATCGATATGTTATACCACATTATTTATTTTCTAGAATAGGAGTATATTCTGTTTTCATGTATATATACTACATACATGTATTATAAATATTGTTTGTAACCCAGATTTCAGTAAGGAAAATAGGTGAGTTTATCTCCTACAATGTAACTCAATTACATACTCTTAACTCTATTATCCATAGTTAGATAATTAGTCTTAAAAAATGCATCATGTTGTGAATATCCGATGCCTGTATTTTTCTATACATACTGCATGTATATTTATTTGTGTCAGTAGGTATATCATGACTAGTGTTGGATGATAGAAACAAGGAAGTGCTGTTGATGTGAAACGAACATGCGATGGAGTTACTTTAAGAAATTAAAGAGAGCAATTTTAACAAAATAATCCAAAGTAAATTTATTGCTTATAACAGTGGTTTGATCCTTAGAATTCTTAGTTTTAACTTGCTTAGGCAAAGAAGAGCGAGGTCGGTTAACCAAACAATTTCAGAAAACACAAAGATCAATTGTAACACTATGACGGTAAACAAGAATCCGCTATTTAATAATAAGAACTTTCACTTTTGGAGCACATACGCTCAACTAGTCTAGGTTTTAGCGGAAGAAGAGTCTCCACCTTAGAATCGAGGTCGCTCCGAGGAAGAAGGAACCTTGGATCGTCGTTCTTGGATAGGTGGCCGGAGTATGGAATTCTTGACAGCGATTTCTTGAAGGTGTATTCGGCAGCCTGGACTGTCCGGACAGTGTTTGAAGTCCTTCTAGCAGGCTGAACAGCAAGAAAACATGTTCCAAATCTCCTAAACAGCAGGTTTCAGATGCTTGAAATGCGAAGCAGCAGACAGGAGAGGTCTGGACAGCAGTTTGGCCTTTAAGGTGTTCTGGACGGCAACATATAATGCCTGTACAAACCTTGGACAGCTGCTATAGGGTGCTGGAAGTGTTTGGACAGCAATTCTAGGTCTCAAATGGTGCAGGACGGCAGGCTACCCTTGCTGGAATGCGTGAGCATATAGCAGATTTTAGGGGAGAGGGAGGAAAACCGTGAGAGGGAGACTTGGGAAGGGAGCAGCCAGGTTTGTAACGGCTAAGGGTTGAGTGGGGGGGAAGTAATCAAAAAGAAATCTGATTTGTAATTCAGATTTCTCAATTGGAAAGATTTAATTTTAGTTTTGAAATTTCAAACCTGAAATTAGTCTCAAAGGGAAAGAAATAAGGGAAGTTACAAGGGGTTAATACGGGAGAGCGAGAGGAGTATTTGAGTGGTTTGTAGTGGGCCCGGCTAATTAATGGGTCATTAATTAAAATCTGATTTAGTAATCAGGTTTGAATTAATATGGGAATTCCTAACTCACGGTTTAGGAGAAAAATGACAGCTTTTCAATTCAATTCAATGGGATTTTGAAATTCAAAATCTAGTGGTTTGTAGTGGGCCCGTTTAATTAATGGGCCATTAATTTAAATCTGATTTAGTCATCAGATTTGAATTAGTGCGGGAATTCCTAACTCACGGTTTAAGAGAAAAACTGAAAGCTTTTCAATTCAATTCAATGGAATTTTGAAATTCAAAATCTGCCCAAAACAATTGGAGCCAAATTAGGAAGGTTCTGAAGGGGGGATTAATGAGAATTGAAGAGGTGGGGGATGGTAAATCAGCGGCCAAACAGGAGATTGGGTAGGCTAGATCCGGTGGCCTGCAGGTGGTGATCCCAGTGGCTAGGGTGAGGGGAGCAGGCCGGCGGGAGTATTTTACAATGGGAGCTGACAAGTGGGGACCCAAGGGTGGCCGGTGGGTTGATGGTCGGCGGCTGACCGGCGGGTTGGTGCTGCAGGCCGGCGGCCTGGGCAATCCAGGAGGGACGGCGACAGTGAGCAAAGAAGGGAAGGGTGTAGGGAAAATTCTATGGATTCAAAGAGTGAATTCCAATCTCCCACAAATAACTTCAACCGAATCTCCACAACAACGAATCGATCATGAGAAATAAAGGAAGAAAAATGGTAGAACAAGAAGACCTAGAACTCACAAAGAGATCTAGCTTCTCCTACGAACTCACTAAGAGATCGTGGAGGTTTGCACTCACAAAGAGAACATGAAATGTCAAATTTTCATTCATAAAAAAAAACTCCCTATTACATAAGAAAATGGCCATATAAATAGGCCTCAAAATGACAAAGAAAGCAAAAGACTAAAATGCCCTTGGGCTACAATAGCTACCAAATACCCATAAGGGCAAAAACGGAAAAACATAAAATAAAAATAAACTGCTACATAAAATGATGAAAATACAGATCATGATCGTGGCCGTCGATCTCCGGCATCTCCTGAAGGTACATGTGTCGAAATCGCTGCTGATGTCCCCATCAGCTGTTAAGCTGGAAGCCTGCCAATTAATGATAGTTCTGCTAGTAAATGATGACACAACAACTTTGTTAGTTTAAAAAGTCGAGTCTTTTTTTTTTTTTATGCAATTACTTTGGCATGCTGTAAATTAGTGATACATTTAGATTTTCTTGAAAGCTATCGGCTATATTGATAGATAATACAGCTTTTTAGATAATTTGTGGTGAATACTAAAACAATGAACGTTGTGGATGTTTCTTTAAAGTTTTCAATTTTTTTAACCTTTTGTTATTTTTTTCTTAGGGTATTGTTTATGATATTTTTTTGTCGCAATTTTCTATGTTGCATGTAACAGTTTCAGCGTGATCTTTGCTGGAGTTCAAGTTTATGTTCTATGGGTGTTTCTATAAACCTTTCTTAGGGTTAGCTCTGTTGTTATCTTTACTTTTTTTAACATGGAATTCCGCTAGCATGCTTTAATAAAAATTTTGTTAATAAACATGATGGTGTATTGGCATTACTTATCACTAAAGATGATCAAGGAAAGAAAATGTTTCTAATAAAATAATATGTTTTGTTTTCTGCAGCAAGCCTTTCTCGATTCACATAAAAATATCTGTTATGGCCATTTGACTTGTGTCTCTTATATTTTTTTTTGAACACGTACAGTTAGTATTCTGTGCTTGTTTTTCCTTCCATTACTTTTTATTAGCTTTTTTGTACATTTATAGCTATTCTACCTCTGATGGAAGCTCAATGTTTTTTTTTTTGCATGCAATCGGTTATTCTCTGCCAGGAGTACCTGTTGTTTCAATGTAAGGTTATCTTTTCCTTTTCTTACCATATTTGCATACCATATGTTTCATTCTAATGAGTAATTCCATACTGTTTTCTATCCTCCATCAGTTAGTTTTAATTGATTGTGCTGAACCATGCAACAATTACTGTTAGTAGGATATCCATTGATGCGAACTTGACTGATCCTGGAGTATCCATGGCATCTCTCTCAATCTCTATCTGTCGCACCCATTGATCTTGTGTGTAGGTAGCATGGTCTCTATTTTGATTGTGGTTGGGTATCATGGTTTTTGCTGTTAGGTATCATGGTGTTTTTTTTTTTGTGGTGGAGTTACTCTGTTCCTGTTCTGTGGTTGAAAGATGTGTTTAGGTGCTCTCTACTAGGTTTGCAATCTCTGTTTGGTAGGAGTCTTTGGAGTTTTGTTGTTGGGTGTTTGCAAGTGGACTTTCGATGGTGTGATGTTCTAATATATTTTAAAACAAGTTAGGTCTCGCACATTAACATTTGGTATGGCCCATCTTTTTGCAATATTGTGTCCATATGAGCTTTGGCAATACAATCAATGGTGGTGGTATGGTTCTTATGGACGAAAAAATGTGAATTATGGGATTTCTCCTAGTTGAGCTTTTTTATTTCTCCTTTTTATTTGTATTGAAAAATGTAAGGGACTTTATGATTATAAAATGCATCTGAGACATGTAAGGGGAAATTTTATTTTTTAAATTAACTTTTGGTTGTATTTATTTTAAATACATTTGGATTATTCTCTTAAAAGTGTCATTTGTCCATATAGTAGAGTTATCATATATATATATATATATATATATATATATATATGATTTACTAATGGTCAACAAAATAAACTTATGGAACTTAATAGATATTTATTCTCCCCATCATTTGCTCTTATAGAATTAAATTTATCATTGGAAAAAAAGCATTTTGGTTTTTCTTTTTTACTTGCATCATCTTTTATTGCATTATTCATTATGTAGGTACATGATTTTCATGAAAATATTCACAAAAAACTTACTTTTTATTATGATGATTAGAAGTTACTTGTCGAACAATAATGATAAGCACCGGCGCCGGGTGCATTGTTAAATAGGCAAGGGTTCCCACATCAAGGACGGATGTGGGCAAAGAAGCTAGTCCATGAAACTAAAATTAGGATATGAACTTGAAATATAGGTTCCCTTACAGGAAAATTAATGGAATTAATAGATATTATGATTCATAGGAAGTTAAATATTTTGTGCATTCAGGAAACTAAATGGGTTGGAGAGAAGGCTAAGGAAATTGATAGTTTAGGATTTAAACTTTGGTATTCGGGTTGGAGTCGTACTAGAAATGGTGTTGTAAAGTTATTCCGAGTGAAAATTTATGTACCCAACATCGATTATTAGTTTTGGACTTTAAGATAAAGGGGCATAAAATAAAAAATAAAGTAAAACGATTTTCTAGGATTAGATGGGGGCATTTAAAGAATATTTACAATTCTCAAACTTCTATGTAAATTAGGGTTGTAAAGAAACTAGCGTACATGATGAATAGCTCAAAACTTATTAATATTAGGTTTGTTATGTTAATTTATTTGGATAATTAAGCAAGTTTGAGCAAAATTGTAGAAGTTTGACATATAAATTTAGCTTGAATATTGACATGCACGTTAATTTATATTCATAAACACAATTGTTAATTAATGAATAGCTCGGTTAACTGCTCTATAAAATGCTCATTAAATTATTTCTTAGTAAATTTTTTAAGACAAAATTATTTCTTAGTAAAACGACGGTCTTTCGATGACCCGGTTAGGAGAGTAGAGGTATTAGATTTGACTTATGTTAAGAAAGGTAGGGGTAGACCTAAAAAGACTTGGTTAGAAAATATTAGGAATGACCTTTCTTTATTAGGTTTAAATGAGAATTTGACTTTTAATAGAACACAATGGAGAAAAAGGATTCATGTAGCCGACCCCACGTAGTGGGATAAAGGCTTGATGTTGTTGTTGTTGTTGTTGTATATTCTTGCATCAATTTTCATATATTTTAAACCCTTAAAATGAAAAAATTCAAACAAATAGCTTGCTACATATATTAAAACCATAGTTTATAAACATTTCAACTTCACTTTCAGATTAATATATTGTGAATAATGTCAATTTTATTTAATATTTTCTAACTCATTTATGTTTGCCGATAAGCCTATATGTTTTAGCCATAAGCATCAAATATATAATTTATAAGGATTGCAAGAAGAAAACTTATAAAAATCTTGAATAATATTTTAAAACTTGGGTCATGTTTAAGTTTGGGTCAAACTTGATAAAAAAATATATGTAACAATATATGCATGTCGACTCAGGGTTGAGATTTTCTTATGAAACTAGTATGTTGCACAACATGATTTTAAGCCAAAAAAATTGAGGGTTTATATATTACAACCAGCTAATTTAATAACTTACTTTCTTTAAATATAAATAACCAGTACTATAATTAAAACCTAATTAGTAATAAAATGATCTAAATAATTTGAGAAATTCAGCAAGAAATTACAAGCATATTTAATTAAAAATCAAATTAATTTTTAACATGTCACTTTTTGATCAAAATCAAGTGCAACAAACATGCTAATATGTAATATTTTAAAGGAAATAATGCAAAGAGCAAAAATTCCATAGTAAAATTAGATGTCACACCAGTTTAAGGAGAGGACTTCCCCCGAAATTAGGTACTAACCCTTTTATTTCACTTGAACAAACCACACATTCAACTTGCACTAGGTTAACTCCTTTAGCCTCCTCATCAGAGTCGGTATACCACACATTTAACTTGCACTCACATTCAACTTTTATTTAAATAAAAAGTTACCAACTGCATATCTCAAAATAGACTTCTCATAATGTAAAGTTGTAGATTTGGTTGACTCATAATTCAACTTAATTCAGTTTTAAATTAAAATCCTAAAAGATAATAACCAGTTCAGTCATTTTTTCAATTACAAACTCCAAGCCATTGGATCCCCTAAGGATCTGCATGCCTCAACAGGCAATAGAAGGTGCACAAGAATTATGCATGCTGCCTCCAAACTAGGAAATTATATGATAGCTTTTATTTAAATCAAAAGTTACCAACTGAATATCTCAAAATAACAATTTGTAGACTTCTCATAATCTAAACTTGTAGATATGGTTGACACATAATTCAACTTAATTCCGTTTTAAATTAAAATCCTGAAAGATAATAACCAGTTCAATTTTTTTTTTCAATTCCAAACTACATGCCATTAGATCCCTTATGAATATGCATACCTCAAGATTGCAATAGAAGGTGCACAAGAATTATGTATGCTGCCTCCAAACGACTTTAAAATTCCAGCAAAACACTTGCAAAATAGCAGTCAAAGAAAATCTCCAAATAATCACCACTCTTTTAGAACAACAAATTTAATTGAAGGATAAGTCGAACCATCCACTACCTTTTTCCAAAGAATTTTACGGTGCCCATGTTACAATTCCTTAAACCAACAACAGCATAGCCAGAAGAAAACCATGTCTCCAATGCTTCAAATAGTAGTCAGCTCACATTTTTTGCGAATAATTTAATTGAATCAAGAAGAAATTTAGCCAAACCTTATGAATAAACTTAAGATAGGAAATAATATCAACCGTCTCAATTATCATTATTGGCAAATTCTTAATCAAAGAAATTAAATAAACAAACTAATAAAAAGAAACAACTTAGCTATGCATAGATCATTGTTTTAGTTGACATTTTTGAAAAGAATAGACAAGAATATTCCATCTATCTATCCCAGTTGAATAAATTTCATTATGATGAATTTAACATTTAATTTCATCAAGCTTATGCTGACATGAATTATGTCCGTATTGAAAGTGATTTATGTATCAACAAAAATATGCGTGCCTTGCTAATAAAGTATATATTTTTAGAATCCACGATTAGTAGTGGATATGATTTCAATATCTATAATAGCATAAAAAACTATATATATAGAAGTATTTGGCAGAAGATTGGAAGTGGACTCACAAAGAACAGGTAAAAAAAGATTATGAATTGACGGAATTTATCTTAGACTCATGAAATTATGTCAAATCAGACACTGTAAATTGAAGCTTATATTAGATTTTTCAATTTGTAGGCATCATTATTTCAAATGCATTGCAAAATTTTAGATGTTTATCTTCCTTGCCTTTAATTTCTTAAAAGTTCCTAATGAAAGTCTTTTTGACATAACTTATTAGCCAACAGGCTGAATTTTTTTTCAATTATCTGATCAAATGAGCCTTTTTCAGTTGAAGAGAATGACTCTCATCTGGTTTAAATTCCATATACCTATTGTTCACATCCACCAAAAGCTTGTCATTGTCATAATTAGTAGCCAGTTTTATAGGAATATCCTTAAAGAAATCATGTTTTTTCTTGTGAATGATTGCACAAATGTGATAGGCTTCGATTCTACTTCAATTTCAAGAAGATCAAAAGGATTTTTTTTGTTGATATTCCGTGACAATCTGAAATACTCTTACCAGTAGACCTATTGACAGATCAAGTGTATGCAAAATTAGACCAAAAAAATTTCAAATCCACTTGAAGCATGGTATTTTATCAAGCAACGCAATAGATATCCAAAGTTTATGTTTTCTATGTTTGTTTGTTCATCAATTTATGGATGGCACGCTATTGTAAATTTAAGTTGTAATCTAATTTTCTTTCAATGAGTTATCCAAAAATACATGCATGAATTGCAGATTACTCTCAAATGTTTTAAATAAGAAACTTAATTTTAATACTTCATACAGATATAATTTAGCAATGTGAGGTGGATCAGTAGTTTTAGATATTGTCGGACTTTGTGTCAATTTGGAAAATGATCAACCATTACTCACTATATTCATTGAAAACATAATATAAAGTTCATACTTATATGGCTTACGTGGAATTAATTAAGGTGTATACAACCTTATTTTTGTTTTTTCATCTCTAGTAGACTAACAAATTCTACATCGTGAAATAATGCATTCTACATCTCTTTTTAAATTTGGCAAAGAAATTTCTATCTTTAGTCATTGCAATATTTTTATTTTTACTAAAAAGTCTAAACAAAATCTACAAAAGTTGAATTTCATTGCATAAAATTTCATGGTTAGGTGCATTCCTTAGTGCAAATTTTAACATAGGACTATATGTAGCCTTTTGGATAAAACAAGAGGTGCTCCTTTTGATATTTTTCTGTTCCCTCGAAATGGGAATGGATATGATCCACTTGTGAACTTGCTAAAAGCAAATGCTTATTCCTAATCTGAATTATGCTTTTCTGTGCCAAACTAAATGTTTACTTACCTTTTCACAAGGTTTCTGAGAAAGCTTCTTACAGAAGATTTGCCTAGACTTTTTGTTCGTCCAAGAAAGATTGTGCTTGATTTCCAAAAGGGTAAAGCTCTTGGCCCTATTACAGATAACTTTAAAGCCGATACAACTGAAGAAGGAAACAAAGAGTTTGTTGGGGAGTTATCTGTGACTCTTGTTGATGCTCGCAAACTTGCTTTTGTGAGAATTGGTATCTATGCTATTTTCCTTTTGCTAATTTTTCATTTATTTTTACTTAGTTTGGTTTCAAATGTGTCACCACCTTTGAACTCTTATAATGCATTTTGTAGGAGTTGATGCAAACTGAGAATTTCAGTTTCTATCTATGATTTTTTCAAAAACCTGCCATTCTGATAGTTTGTGTGAGCATATATATTTTCAAACTGGTAGCCATGAATTTGTCTCAAGAACGTTGCCTCATCCTGAGTAGTGGATGTAGTTGTTTCTTTAGACTGCCATTTTCAGCAGCAAAGATTTTTAATTCCTGTTATTATATGTTTGATAAAACTGCTATTGAGCGTGCGTGCACTTATTTGTATTTAAATAAATACTTTTTTAATCATTTACTTTGTCTAATGCATTTACAGGTAAGACAGATCCATATGTTGTTCTAAAACTAGGCGATCAAGTGATTCGAAGTAAAAAGAACAGCCAAACAACTGTCATTGGGCCACCAGGAGAGCCAATCTGGAATCAAGTAAGCACTATAATTGCTTATTTTCATTATAATTTTTGCTTTTGTATCAAAACTCTATCTTCTTTTACATTTACTTAAATGATGTGGAATTTTCTTTTGAACAGGATTTTCTCCTATTTGTTTTGAACCCTAGAAAACAGAGATTACAAATTGAAGTTATAGATTCTTTTGGTTTCAGTTATTTCACTCTCGGGGCAGGGGAGGTATACTTTTGTTTTATATCTATGATCTTCAATTCATGGCTGAAGTACAAATTTTGATTTTCTTTGATATTATATTATTTCACTTTGTTATCAATTTCAGAGAATTGATTGAGTGTATTTCATTTCTACTTGTATATGATTTATGCAATTCTAGGAAATCATTTTTTAGGTAAAAATATGAAATTGAGGAATAAAATTAAATACAAAAATATTTATAATAGTTCACTGATTGATAAGTTGGTAGTAGAAATCTCACAGATAAATGAGATGGCATTAGAACAGGAAAGAAAGCGGTGGAAGTCTTGGTGCATTTCATTTTAAGTTTGATATTCACTTCGTCAAAAATTAGACCGATTTTTTCAGCATATTTTATTTCAACTTGTAAAAAATTCATACAATCCTAGGATAACATCTAATAAGAAAAATATGAATTCAAGGAATTTAATTAATTATTACAGTAGTTCAAGGATTGATGAGTAGGTAGTAGGAATCCTATGGATCAATGAGGTCGTAATGGAAGAAGAAATAAAGAGGGCAGAAGTTTTCGTATGGGTCTTAACAACTTTCCCTTCAAGTAAATGAATGGATGTTATCTGTCAAAGCTTTCCTGATAATTTTTTGAAGTCTGTCAATCATAATCCATTGGTGAGAAATATAGAAAATTGTTCACCTGTGTTTATAAATAAAGTAAATATCAGACTATTGTCATGCTTCTCCTTTATAAAATAGCATTGAGATAGCCTTCTTGAGTAAACATAGGTGATTCTCCCCTTAAGAAGTCTTCATGGAAAATTGCTTCATCTAAACGACTTATTATATATTGCCATAATGGAAGCCGTTACTCACATCCAGTTATAGGTGTGCTGAACACTGCTTGATGGCAGCCTAGAGGAGAAGTTGAACAAAATTAAGCTTAGCAACTAGTGAGAATATAATGAAACAGAATATCCCATAGAATTGAATGAATCTCTTGTTAAACATGTAAGCTTTGTAAAATTTGACTGTGAAGACTCACAAGTTGTTGGTACCCATATAGAATGACTGAGTATAGCACTCATTTTAACATCTGTATCTTCTTTCAGGAGAGAATTTTGTAGGATTTTTTGACACATATTGGGAACTAGAGAGACATAAAACTTAGAGTAGATAATCAAATGTCAAAAGAGTGAATCGGATGGCGGTATGTCGTCTTTTACCTTCTATTAAGGCAATTAGTAAATGTAGATCAGAGAAATCATTAGAATGAGAGTGCTTCGTTGAATTTGACAATGTTGATGGAGTTTTTGCTATAGGAGGAGGTTGATGTTACTGAGAGTAAACTTGTAGTGGAGTTTACATTGGATGAGGAGCTTCTAGAGGTAGAGGGATTGGAGATGAAGAGGATTCAATGAGGGAGAGAAAAAGGTGTGCTTTCATGAGTAGTAAAATTAGCCAAAGTATAAAAATAACTATGAAGAGGATCATAAAATTTATATGCCTTTTGTGTGCAAAAATGCTTGGGAAATACATTCTTTTTAGGCAAATGAAAAGCATGAATGAAAAAGAAACTATCAAGTATTCTTGGTGTTAGAGAAAATAGAGGTTGTTTGGTATTGTAGAGTCAACCATTAACTGAGACTGCATACCTAACATGGAAGTTGCAGTGTGGGCTCCAAAAATTCGGCCCCGGCATCCGCCCGCTTTGCTTGGGCCCTTTTTTGGGTGGGGGTTAACGAAATTACGTTTCGAGGTAAATTTTGGAAGGTAGATGAGTTTGTAGATAAGACACTACCCAGAGATTTTTTTCTAATTTTTGCGAGGACTTTATGATCTGAGTTCTGGTTTCCTATAGGCGCAAGCTCCTATAGTTAATTACCCCTCCCAATAACGAGAGAGAACTTTAAATTAAGGCTAGTCATCGATCAGATACATAAATATACATTGTATCTGGCTATAATAGCAGCATGGGTTTAGGTAGGGTTTGAGAATTGATATTTAAAATTAGAATTTTCACCATCTTTCACTTAGAGCGGATGGCTGGGGATTGGATGATGGATCTGATCAAGGTCCCATGGTTCCGTCGTCCCGGGCCATCGTGGTCCCTAGTCTACTTAGTCAGAGGAGGTAGTCGACCCAACCTGATAGAAGGATCCTTGTCGACAACCATGGGTTGCTTCGCCCAAGGGTACCTTGTAGACATGGGTTCGATATTTACCTAAGGGGATAAATTTAAATCCACTTTAGCTATCAGAGGGCTTTGTGCTATATCGATTATATCTTATTGAATCATATCTCAAGGATTTGATGCCACTAAGGAGCGTATTGGCTCTGGCCATAACCGGTATTTCGTGGTGTAATTTGGCGGGAAAATCACTTCGTTCAGAGAGCCCCGGGTCATAACGGTTTATCCTGTGGTGCCATTTGATGGCAAAATCGCTGGTCAGAGGACACGTACCACATCTTTATTGGCAGGAGATTATTTGAGAATGGATCTTAGTGATATTTTTGACCAGGCATTTAGCTCTGTATGAGCTAAAGTTATATTCAAATTTGTCCACCTCGGTAAACTGTAGCGGAAGGTTGATGAATTTTCCTTTAAGTGTTTCGTGGTTGGATTTTAATTTTAAATATATTGGAGTTTGTAATTTTGAGATGTTTGGATCTTCGGGCATTTGAGAGTATTTGGGTAGAGCTTTGAATGTTGGAATCACCCCTCCGGTTGAGTTCTGTATTCAACTTGGCCATACTCGGGGCGTTTGGGGGCATTTTCATTTATGGACTGAACCTTGTCAACTCGACCAACCTGTTAACCAAAGATTGGATTTCTCGTAGGCTTTGTGCCTTTATTAGTGAATTCTCTTGATTATAGGCCTTGAAGGCCTAATATAAATATATTAAAACAAATATACCAGTCGCTACAATCGCCTTATGTCTGCTTGTACGAAGGTTGCAAATCCTGTGGCGTGTTGTAGCAGCTTCTGGATTGAGTTGTTCACTGCTTTATACAGATAGACTGTCGTGCACCACTTATTATTTTCTACAGGTGGGTTATAGTGCACTAATGAATCTCCTGCTTTTGGATATAAGTGAATCGTAGCGTTATCACCTGATTGCAACGAGATACTTTATTATTCTGATGTAAACTCCCTTTTCTCATTCACCGGGAAGTTCTTATTGACTTTGAAATCAATAACCGTTGCTTTGAAAAGAACTCCTTTTAAGATCTTTAGTATAGTAAACTTGTTATTTCCAGTGTTTGTGGATAGCAGAACTATTTTCTTCCTAAGTATAGGAACAAGAAGAAATTTTTTAACACTAGAAAGTTTAGTTCGAATTTGTTCAAACACCTCTTTCATTCTACCAGAAGGTGTGCTCCGTACATCGAGTTGTCTTCAAACCCGACGTACTTACGAATCTTAATCACCGCTATTGTAGGCGATATCTATACTTGTGTCCACAGGGGCTCGTTGTGCTTGCAATATATCCACTGTTGTTATCCACAAGTGGCTCGTGTTTATTTACAGGGACTCGTTGTATTCATTACGCCTCTTCGAAGTGTTCGTAGAAGAGCCATTGTTCCTGCATCATATTCACCTTTCACTAATCTCAAGTGGTATGATGATTGTACTTGTTTGTAAGGGCAGGTTTTTCACTATCAAGTGCTAGTATTGCCATCTCAATTTACAGGCATTGTTGCTTGTGTTGGAGATCTCAATAGCGCATATAGGACACACATATGCATTCTGCAACCATTTATTATTCTTGCAGGTACGATGCACCTGATCTCGTAGAGACTATTGTAAGAGTCCACTATATTATTTGTTTGTATGCATTGAGGTTTTGTAGTGTGCCTTCTTGTACCTCAATTTTGGTTATGAGGATGTTGCAATATCCTTTCTGCAGGAGCTCACGGTCGTTTGTATTTATCACATCTTAATCACATTCATTTGCAAGGATTAATGTATTTCATCCGACATTGAGTCACTATTGACCGTACGAATGTTCTTGTAGTTTGAGTTCCCTCGTAAATGATTCAAGCTTTGTTCTTTACATATGTTTGATTCCAAGTTCAATTTCATTTAGATTTGAGTTCATCGAGTTTACAAGTCCCACTTAATGTTGTATAGTCCGAGTTCAGTGTGAGTTCTAGTGCTTGTTCAAAATCTTCTAAAGTCCTTGCAAGTTTAGTTGCATGTTCAAATTGATTTAAATTTAGCTCCAGTTTGATCTTATTTTATTTGGGTTTGACCTTTTATTCGTCATCTAGATTTTGTTCAAGTTGAGGTCCTCAAGTCCACTGTTCATTTGAGTCAAAATTCTTATTCTCTTGAGTTCAAACCAAGTCCAAATGCAGTCTTATATTTACCCAAAATTTCGGCAGCCTCCTAGCGTCTCCCCCGTTTAGAGGAAACCACGGGAAATTTGGCCTTCCCACCATGCTAAGAAAAACGTGTATGGTAGGTGTCCTCGGACGAGGACACTGCGGTCGTATTTTCTTCATCCCCCACCACATTAAAAAAAGCGTGTATGGGTCTTCTACATGTACCTGTTGCAATAGAAGCAATTGTTTCCCCGCATGTACAGAGTCGCATACGGGTACTTAAGATTATCCTAGCCATGCTAAGAAAAGCATGCACTAGGCTTACCTGCTTAGTCGTATGTGTCGCACCGGGTTCCCTCCTACTACGCTAAGAAAAGCGTATATAGGTGATTGACCAGCTTGTCACACACGTCTAGTACAGAATTTTAGGGTTTAAGGGCCGCTCACCTGCCTCGTCGTAGGTGTCGCACCGGGTTCCTTCCTACCACGCTAAGAAAAGCATGTACAGTGATTTACTGGCTCGACACACACATCGAGGTGAGGGATTAAGTTTTAGAAATTTTACCTTGGCGACCGGTGAATCCGTGGTGGAGGCTCGTGGATCAAGGCTGGAGGAGGACATTTTTATTATTATTAATTATAATAATAATAATTAATTATAATATATAATTAATTATTAATTATTGATTAATTATAATTA